TCTGTTTGGATGATTTTTTAATTTGGTTGAAATGATTTATTTTTTTTATTATGCATGAATTTGATAAAAATGGGGTTGCTATGTATTACTCAGGCTTAAGCCTGCTTATATAGAATCTGCTGCAGAGGTGAAAGGGTAACTATCATTGCTAAAGGTCAATAATTCACTATTTTAGTACAATCCTTAAACTAAAACTAATTACTAGAATATCATACATGTCATAAAAACAGTGAGACTATATGAATTGTACAGAGTTTAACTTCTTGGAATTTCATAGAGTTTTATGTGAAGTAACAAACTATAGTCAAATGTAGATTTAAATTCTATGTGAAGTGACAAACTATAGTCCATGTGGATTGTATAGCTTAATTTCAACAGATTTTATTGGGAAAATAAACAAATAAAACACAAAAAAATAAAAAAAAAATGAATTCCCGGCAAGGTGTCAAGAAAGTGAGGGCTCTTTGTTGAAGTTTAGTTAAATGTCAATAAATATCTTTCGGTCACCGGTGTGCGACAATAGTGTCGGCATTTGTATTCCGCTAAAAAAAAGGGTACTTTTTTCAGCTCCAACATAGGTGATATTAAATTCAAAAACGGAGACTTAGATTTGCCGTCATTTATTTGGTTTTTGCCGGTGTTTTACGAATGTGGGCTATTTCAAAATTTCTTGTGGTGGTTTCATGTCTTCTATCTCAAATTTCTATCGGCAATCTTGAAACACAAGGACGTTGAACGTTTGTCTTCTCAAAGATCATAACAGGTTTGTGGATCAGACAAATTTTGATGGTTTTCACCAATTATCTTATAGTAATTGTTACTAGATTCGTACTTTAAAAAAAAAAATAGAATCCATTGCCAAGATACTTTTTTCTGTATGACAAAATCTTTTTGAAAGGTCCGATAGTTTGGTGAAGAAATTACCGATGTCGATAAACTTGCCTTTATTTCCACTTTTCGCGATAAATTTATGGTTATTCTCCACATTCACCTGACAATTACTGACATTCTTGTGTGAAATTTTAAGAATCCATTCATTCTAATTTGTTGATGTTTGTGTCTGGTTTATGCACTGAAACTACGGGCCTACGGCAGTGGCCACGGTAGCTAGAGGAAGAAGAATATATTATACACCAGGTTCTATATGTTGTCTCTTTTAATTTTCTGAGTGGTGGTATTAATATAGTTTAATAGCATCTTGTTTTCCCTTGGTGTCTTTCTTGACTCATGTTCTATATTCTAATATTCTAAAATGTCCCTAGGCTCTCAGAGATTCAAATGACTAATTGTAGTCCCAGTTGACATCTTGGGATTTCTAAGGTAAGACTTTGTCCGGATAAACCATGTTTGTGTTATATTCTTCAAGTCTTCACACACGTGTATGCATGTATGCATTGGCGATGGCATGACGAATCATGGCGTGTGTGTGGGGAAATTTCTGCACAATGGTTGTGATGAGAACAGATCTCTCCCATAGGGAGCTACGACCCGTTGAAACGGTGGATCCGGCAATAAGGAATAGGTTAAGAGGGACAAATGGGACCTAAAGACTGGTGATGAATTATTTTTGGTGCTGTAGAACTGATCCTGATGGCTCGCAAGGAATTTCTGGAACACAGAAAACAGGTTAGAAGGGCGCCGGAGTATTTTCCGGCGTATCCCCTCCTACGGTCAAGTTAGTTCTTTGAGAGAGGGGAAGAAAAAAATACTGTTTGGAGTTCTTGAGAGGTCAATTTTCGTACTTTAGCAATGCGTTTTTAAGAGCTATTTATACCTTCAAAGGCTAATCATTGCTGACAGTCTAGTCAGTAAGTAATCTTCAGAGATGGGACAGTGTTCCCATATTTTTCATGGAGAATGTTCCCATCTTAATTGCTCGCACTGTTTGGGCATTCAATGTTTTTTCTCCAATGTTGAGGCATTAAATGCTCAGATCCCTGAGCATTTAATGCTTTTGCTTCTTGGCTGGTTAAGTCATGCTAGATGTCTTAATAACTGTCAATGCATTAAACGTCTATCTTTATTAGCCGCATATCAGCAGGGGCAATGCCATCTTTTTACCCTTTACCTTGTGGTTTATGCCACGCGTCTGGCTCTCTTTGGCTAAATGTCCAGTCCATCCTGTCATACTGGCTTCATTGTGCAGGGTGTATTCATTATTGCTAATCTAGCCTAGGCCAGTCCAGCTGTTAGTCGCTGGTTCCCTCAGAAACCAATGACTTAGATTGGTGGCGAGTGACTCCTTGGAACCGAGGGAACATACCATAAAGTCGAGGTACTCGTTTGTTGGGGCATGGGGGACATTGAGGTCGAGGATACGTCATCGGGGGAAGATACGTCCCTTGGGATCGAGAACACATGTCATTGATATGTAACCTTCTCGAAATGTCCCATCAACTGCCCTCCAACCCTTTGATCTTCTTTCGAAAAGGTTACGTGTCGCAAGAAGATGGAAGGGTTCATAACTGTCCTCAATCATCTCATCATTACTCCAACCGTTTTCCTGTTGTTTGGAGAACGTGCGCATTGAATGCGCCCTTTCTTGCGCAATTATGAAACCTGGGGAGCCTATAAAAACAGAACCCCCCTTTCCCTTTTTTCACTTTTCGACACCATAAGCTTTCCTCAGAGATTTCATTGTCGGAGAAAAGCCAGAGCTTTACTGCCTGAAGAACTCCTGTCATCTTTCTCAGCCATCACCAGAGAAGAAGAAGAAAAAGAAATGTTCCCAAGTTTCCTCAATCTTTCAGTCCTCTTTCCCCGTAGTCCCTGGTGAGTCTTCGTCCCTATTCTTTTTATTTTTTTCGGCGAGTGGTAGCCTTCTGAGGTCCCCATCGTGTTCATTCTTGAAAAACTAGGCCCCAGGGTAGTCCTTCAGACTTCTCCATCGTTTCGCATTCCTTAGTGCCCCTTAGGACTTCCTCTTGTGTTTTAAGGAAAGAGCCCTCTAAACTTGACCTTCTTTCTATTCGAGATGCCGAGGTGTCAACCCGTGATTGAGGCCCAGGAGGCCGGGACCTCAAGGCTGAGAAAATGGACATTTAAGGGTGCCCAACAAATAGCAAACTTCAAAGCCCACTATGACATTCCTCGTGATGTTATTGTAGTCGATTTTGACCCAGCCCGTCATCGTCCTGACGTCGGCGTCGAGGATACTATGCCTTTTTATACCAAGGCGATCATGGAAGGAGGGATCAGGTTCCCTATTCCTTTGCTACTCCTTTAGTTCCTTTCTAGGTTCTGTCTCTTCCCGGATCAGTGCGCTCTCAATACTTTTAGGATAATCATGGGAGTAATGGAATTAAATAGGCGCCTCGAGGACATCCTCTTCTGCTATACTTGATGAGAGTGTTGCCAAATGGAGTCTTCTACCTGAAAACCCGGGACATCTCCATGTACCTCGTCACCCATCTCCCTAATTCAGACAAGGGGTACAAGGATGACCTTGTGGTCTTTAGTGGAGACTGGGAGAGGAGAGTCAGGTTCCCCTTTCCTCAGTTTTCTTTTTTATGCTTAAATAACAAAGTTCTGATAATCTTTTTTTGTGCAGACGTTTCTTCTAGGGAGGCCGTTCCTCCTGTTCGGCACCTTGTAAATTTTTTTGACTTGGTGACTATTTGGGGATACATCGACAACGATTTTGGCCGAGCGGAACACGTACTTCTGGGCTACGTTCCTAGTTATAAGAAATTTTCACAACTCCCTCAACCATACAATCCCTCCAGGTGGTCCAAACTTTTAGCGCAAGCAGCGGAATAGGACCTCGAACCAAATTTGGAAGAGAACCCTGATAGGGCCACAAAGGCCGCAGTAGAGAGGGCAGAAGAAACGGTTGGAGTTAGAGAAACCTCCACCACTATTCACCGTGAGACCAGCACGGCCGAAAGGGAAGTTTAGACAGACTTTAATATTTTTCAAAGTTTGGACCAGGAGGACGCGCTCGAGGCTGCGATGTCGCGCCAACCACATATCGACCTGAACTTCTTGAATCGGAGGGCCGCTCTGGGGTAGGGAATCTAGATCTGCAAGTAGTGTTCCCCCTCTCCCTCCAAGAGCCAGTACTAACATTCCCCCCTTCTGGGGTCAAACACTAGCATTCCTCCTTCGGGAGCCAGTACCAACATTCCTCCTGCAGGAACCAGCACCAGCACTCCTCCTCTTGTAAGGTCTTATGGTCGAGGGTTGGTCCGTGACTAGAATCCCCTAGTCGAAAAGGAGAGGAGGACCAAACAAAGACATGATGGAGCAGGCCAAGGTAGGGGCCTTCCATTACAACAACAACAATCACCGCAATAGTAAGGAGGAACTCCTCCTTCTCCTCCAACACCGACACCAGCAACCGAAGAATGGCGCTTCCGAGCCCGGGATCGAATGAATAGGCTAATTCGGGTTAATAACTCCATCGTCAGCAATCCTTACGTGACCTATGTCGTGAGCGAAATGCTCCATTTTGATGCTGACATGGAGGTACACCGAAAGCGGCCGATCAACCAACTATTTCGCTCGATCATTCAGCACTCCTTGGTGGTAAGTGTCAATTCTTCGCTTTCCAACTCACTTTCTTTGGTGTAACCATTTGTCCTTCTCTTCCTCAGGCTACCTAATAGGTGTCAGTCATTGCTGCGCGCTATCATGAGCAAAGGCAGAATTTTCAGCAGGCTGAAAGTGAGAAGACTGAGGCCAAGACAGCTCTTGCTACGGCTAGGGAGGAGGTGGCCGCTCAGGATAATACCTTGTCGGCCTAGGAGGCCCAGATTGAGCAGCTGCTCAAGGATGGCGAAATGGCGAGGCGACGAGGGTGAGCGCTGAAAAGTTGAGCGCAACCCTTGCCGACACTGAGAGGAAAATAATTTAGGCGACTCAATGATTTTCTACTGCAGAGGCAAAAGTGGAGGAGTCGGAGCAGACTTGTGCCACACTTGCTCAGGAGCTGGACAAGGTTAGGGCTGAGGCAGCAATAGTAAAAAGGTCCGAGGAGCAAATAAGAGACGAATGTGTCAATGACGTCCTTGCTACCCTAGAGGAGAACAAGAGAGAATTTTTTAAAAAGGGTTGGGATGCGGTACTTCAGGAGGCATGGGTTCCTTCGGAGTCTCCCTTATTCGCTATGTACCAGTATGTTCCCTCGGAGGCTATGATGCAGGCTGCCGTCGAGGTTGCTGCTAAAGAGACAACCTTTGCTCCAATTCAGGGCCTGAGGGAACCTTCTGGGATTGCAAATATTCCCCCTGTTGTTGTTTTCATTCCCGAGGCCCATCCTGCAGTCCCTGAGATGGCAACACCTCTTACTCCTGTGCCTCTTACTCCTGTTTTGTTTGCTCCTTCCTTCCCCAGCATAGAAGAGCTCTTCAGTGAGGCTCCTCCTGCGAACACTGGTGAAGTTTTTAGTCCCCCTCCTTTTAGAGCGCCCTAGTCAAGTCCTCTTTTTCCTTTTGCACAGGGACTTTCTTTTCTCTTTTTTTTTTTTTTTTGTAGCCTCGAGGACGCAAAACCCCCACCTTTTGTAATAGAAGTACCACTTTCTTTTATCATGTCTGCTATTCTGATTAGTGTGGTCCTCGGATAATTTCTAACTTTTGAAAGAATTGAACTAATCTTTGAATAACTGTTAACTTTACGCAAGTGTTGATCCTCAAGACCGATAATTGTTTCTAGGAGCCAAGCACCGATAGATTACTTTCACTCCTGTTACATTCATCTTCTTTGTTGGTCGTCCCGAGGGGGTGAGATGTCCATCTTCCTCAACATCTCAACTCAAAGTGCTTGCACCTGTGTACGCATTCTTGTGCTAGACATCGAGGCATGCGAGGACGTAACCAGTCACTTGACTTCTTTAGGCTCTTGCTGACCTGCGGGGGGTCGGAGTGGCCTCCATGGCCCCGATCGATGCCCCCATTTAAAGGGGTTATTTTCCATTTAGAAGTCGCACTCCTATAGGATAATTGAAAGTTGGGAGTCCTGGACTCTACCTCGAAGACCATGCCCATTCTAGGAGGCTAGCTCCTGCT